ACATGCACTTCAGGCTCCTCCACCTTGACGACTTTCCAGTCCTTCGTGGGGAGTGCGGTTGCATTCTTGCAACATGAAGAGAATGTCCTCCGGCGCCTTGATCGCTGCTGGGAGCCAAATCCGAGCTCGGGGCCTACTGGGGACATCACACCAGTCTAGTGCGACAATGTTCGCCCCTTCGTAGACCTCACCGAGCTTGCTCGACGCCTGTTTGTACAGGTCAGCGGACCGCTGACTGTCGCAGGCCACCACCTTGACGCTGCCCGTGTACCAGCCGGCGTCCATGCAGCAGGGCGATGTGCCTGGCTTCTCCCGCACCATGCGCAGGCAAATAAGGGAAAGGTGGGACTCCACTGCCGTCCACTTGTTCCTGGGAATCCTGCCCTCCGGATTGCCTTTGTCTTAAGACCGAGTAAGACTCGGTCCTTCGTAATTTCGGCGAAAGAGACCGATGGCTGGATCTTAGATCTCTTCGTCTGAGCCCATTATTGGGTGGGCTTACCCTGCCCGTAGTTAGGAAGCACCTTCTTTGCCCATTCTACCTTCTTTAGCCATTCAGGCGAAGGTGTGGCAATGTTGCTCCTAGTATGAGAGCGCAGAGTCTAGGCGGCAGTCCGCCTTTCTGCGTAAGTTTATTTATTGGCGCCAGCAGGTGGCCCGAGCGCCTTGGCAGTGCCTACCGCTGCTTTAGGCGCAGGTGCGCACGTGCGGAGGAGTTCGCGGCTGGCTTTCTGCCACCCGTGCTGGTACGGATATTGGAACCAGTGTTTAGCTTATCCGAGGGTTTTAAAAAGTTTCCGTCTCTGTGTTTGGTTTTAATAACTTCATTCGATTCTATAGTAAATCCCACGAGTTGCGGAGAAGAGGAAAAGTCCGACCGGGCAGAGATCCGCGATGCTCGGTAAGGCGACAGTTTGTACAGGGGGTCGCCATGTCCCTGAGCACACCGTTTGAGACTGGGCTAGTTTTTGTTCCCCCCCCAGCCAGGCTGACTCTTGGCACGGTCCGTATTACACCGTAGTTCGGCCCGGAGTAAGATGTTGTCTTGAGAGGGGAGATAGGGTGTACTTGTTTTGTTGGGAGTTGGTTTGTGTAACGCAACTATTTAGATGCGGCTGAACAATTCGCATCGTCGGTATTGCTTCGTTGCAGTATTTCCAGGATTGCTTATTTACTGGGGCTTCCGTCCACGATTCCGTGTTTGACTTCTCCCACCAGCTTATTCACAGTTGTCCTCGAGAGATGTCGTCCGCTATCCGCAACCTGCGACCCGCTCGGTTGTCCCAGTTAGGCGACTTTGGAACCATCTCACAAGTTCCTCAAGTTAGTGCAGTAGCACTATAGAAACAAAGAAGAAATACACCACAAGTGTAGACAATATTTCAACAAAGCCTGCATTTAAACCCAGTTTTCAGGAGCGCCAAACTGCCCAGTGTGCTAAAAGCGGTGTATTTCCCAAAAGCTATCCCAACCGACTTATTTTTCACTTCAAACGCGTCACCAATTTTTGATCTGGGCGTTAGAGTGAGCGTGGCATATTCGCGTAACAAACTTGCGCTGCGAACAAGGAATCTGCATGCCTAATCCCAGTATTGTAGCTCTTATAGTTTCCGGGATCTCAGCGTTCATACGGACAGACGGACATGGCTAGATCGACTCGGCTAGTGATCCTGATCAAGAATATATATACTTTATGGGTTCGGAAACGCTTCCTTCTGCCTGTTACATGTTTTCCGACGAATCTAGTGTACCCTTTTACTCTACGAGTAACGGGTATAAAAAAGGACCTGACTACCCTACTAAAAGAGATTCATGGGATTAGACAGGACTCCTGAAGAAGAGGTAGCACCTCCTGTCAGCATATGCAGCCTTTACAGTAGCACTATGGAAACAAAGGAGAAATACACCACAAAGTGTGGACACAATTTCCACAAGGCCTGCATTAAAACCCAGTTTTCTGGAGCGCCAAACTGTCCAGTTTGCTAAAAGCGGTGTATTTCCCAATAGCTATCACAACCGACTAATTTTTACCTTCATACGTTGTTCGTATCGTTCTTGCTTACATCAAGCTAACTAAATTTAGCAGAAACATTGGAAGATTGTCTAGGGACAAGTTTGAAACAAAATCCTGAAATGAGTAGCGTAAGCGAGGAAATTGCAGCTGCTGTAAAAGCGATGCAAATTAATTTACTAACGCAGTTTATGGAGAAAACGGCATACAAACATTGAAGCTCTGTTAGGCAGCGGCCTAGAGCATGAACCAGATAGTCAGCAACAAGCGGCTAATACTAGCCGCAGTGTTCCATTAGAGCAACTGTTAGGGCTATCTATCCCTCAAGAGAGTGATAGTAATTTATTGCGATCTTTTAAAATTTATTTTTCCGATCTGTTTTAGATCTGTTAATAAATAACTGGGAACTTCGGTTTTCAGGAACTGACTATACTTTGGTTGTGGAAAATTTTTTTTAAGGGTTGGGGCCTTAAGTCATCAGAAGGGAACCGAACACCAGATCCCTTCCCTAGTAGAAAGGGCAGAATTAAGTACGACCATAAAAAATTTCCGTCTTTCGCTGCCAGGGTCTTGGAAAAAACAATATTATTATCTCACACGATAGGCACAGGTACCGTGAAGCCGATCAATCAGAGGCATTTATCAATTTCCCTTGCTATTGAAAAGCTGCTTTATGCAGAAAACCATAGAATGCTTCAGTTAGTTGTAATAGAGGAGTCGAAAAGTGCCTGGTCGTCGCCAGCCTTTCTAGTCCAGAAGCCAGGAAAAGTCAGGCTTTGTTTAGATAGCCGAAAAGTGAACTCGTAGCGAACTGAGAAGGATGCTTACCCACTGCCTCAAATTGATGGCATTCTCAGCCGATTGCCCAAATCCGTTTTCATAAGTAGTTTAGACTTGAAGGATGCCGTGAACGTGGAGTTCTCACCGATCCCGATAAAATCTCAGCTACAGGGTGGCTGATGAATATTGCTACATTAAGAAACTCAAATAATTTTTTTTTCAGTGTATGGAATTCATTTTTCTTTTATTCATGTTGAAGCTCATTCAATTTTATTAAATATAGCTTAATAAGTTTTAAAAATAATGGAATTTAAATGACCCCCTGCTCGTTGATGCATGTGCGGCATCTTACCAAAAAGTTGTTCATTACTGCTTGGAGAGTTGAGACAGGAATAGCCGCAATTGTTTCTCGAATGGATATCCTTCAGTCAAATTTGTTCTTTTTGCTTTGTAGACTTCCTGTTTGCAATAACCCCACAAGAAAAAGTCAGGTGCAGTAAGGTCAGGCGACCTGGGTGGCCAACGGAATGTGGAGTTTCTGGATAGCAGCTTATTGGGAAATTTTCGTCGCAGTTCTGTCATAACAGGTTGGGCTATGTGAGGAGCTACACTATATTGCTGAAACCACACAGAGTTGAAAGAAATTCTCATTCGGCGTAATTCTGGATAGAAAAACTCTCTCAACATGCTCAAGTAACGGTCTCCAGTAACCGTAACGGTGTGACCGTTTTCTTCGAGGAAGTAGGGCCCGACAATGCAGCGTGATGAAACTGCACACCACACTGTGACACGAAGTGGATGCAATTCCGTCTCATGGAGTATCTGTGGGTTGGAAGCACCCCATATTCGACAATTTTGTTTGTTTATGTTGCCGCTTAAATCGAAATGGGCCTCGTCAGACATGCAAAGACAGTTCAACATGTTTCCATCCTCTTCCACCATTTGAAGCATCTTCTGGCAAAATTCCAAGCGAATCGGCAAGTCTGCAGCGTTCAGTTTGTTGGCCATTTGAATTTAATATGAGAATAAGTCCAAATCTTTGTGCATAATTGACTGTAATGACTGTCTGCTTACACCCATTTGAGCAGGTAAGCTTCATGTCGAAACACGTGGATTGTTTTGTATGGCAGCAGCTGCAGCAGCGATTGTTTCCTGCATTCAAACTGAAGGGTTTTGATGGTAAGGTCTTCTGTTGACTGTCCCATGCTCGGCAAAATTGTTTACAAGTCTCATTATGGTCCATCTGCTCGGAGGATTGCCGCCAAACGTGCGCCTATACTCTCTTTGAACCGAAACTACGGACTCCAGTGCGTGATAGCGGCGGACAATCCAAATTCTTGTTTCAGTGTCACAGTTATCCATTTTTGTGAAATGTAAAAGTCAGTCTGCAAAATAAAAAAAAATTAACCATATATTTTTAAATAGAAAAAAAGGTATTTAATTTTTTTTTGGTAGCGGCTTTCATCAGCCACCCTGTATAACAATTTTTCTTTGCCAACAATACTTAAATCGCTAAGAAGTTTCTTCGGTTTAGCAGGATGGTAAAGGAAGTTTATAAATAATTTCGCTGCAGTATCAGCCCCATTGACCGACCTGTTTAAACCAAAACAATAATTTGTAATGTCAGCTGAGGGAAAAGATGCATTCGGATTCCTGAGAAATAAGCTTTTTACTGCTTCTACGGCTTAGAGTGAGATAGAGCAATTTAATGAAATCTAAAATTTAAATTTAAATTTGTTTGGTAAATTTCTTGAACGTAGTGCTTTCCCCTCCCATGCGTATACTGCTCCACATACTCCGCTCCTTGCTCAATGTTCCTCATCGACCACCATTTCGGCCTCAGCGATGTATTCTCAGCCTTGTAGCATTAACTTTTTGACCTCGTGATCTTGCCCTTTCTGGTGGCGTGTCCACCGTGGCCTTAAACTCCTTCCTGTCTATGAACACTGTAATGCTCCTGGCATTCACATATTCGGTATGCCCATGCATGGTTGACTATAATACCTCTCCTTCCGTTGGAAACACTCTGATCATGTGCCTTCCTGGTAGCTTCTGCAGATTGTGCCTTGCTTCCTACGTGCGGCTTCCAGGTGGACTTTGGCCGGCGTGCTGTTTTCCGTGATCCTCTCCAGGACTTTCTTTCGGGACATAACCAGAGGCTGTGTCGAGGTCTGCATGTCTACCATGAAGTCTTTGAAATACTCACCATGTCGAGCCCGTGTGTAAGAAAATTCCAGAAATTCCAAGCGCTTTTCGTGCCCGTCATACCGAAGCTCCACTCTCGGACCTACTTCACCACCTTGGCGTAATCCTGCACTACGCCGTTCCCCTTGTTCTACCATTCTCTTCTCTCTCAACTCGAAACCCAAGAAAATGCATGATATCCGATTGGGAATTGGAATGGTTGTGATCGTCAGCTGACAGTGACTCCCAGCTTTCGGCGGCGGCGCTCCTCAATGACTCCTGTGGCGTCGCTCTTCCTGGACTGCTCCAATCCCGCACGGCTGGCTGGACTCAGGATGTTTGGTTCTCGTCAATGACACGTATGGCCCAGCAGGTCGAACCCACAACCCTCCTTTGTCGCTAGATACGATACTCCGTCTCCACTCTTACCGTACCGGGATCTCGTTCTCCTTAACGCCTCCGCTGTTCCTCCTATCAAATCCTTTCGTCTCAAATCACCGTTGCAGTATCAACCTTGTAGCTTCAGCGTCTTGACTATGGTATCTTGGTCAGAGTGTTTGAGCAAAGGAATCTAACGGTACTCTCGCGACCACGCATTCGTTTGAATCCTCGAACTAGTACTTTTCTTCTGCTTGTCTCGTGGATTGTCTCGCGTATGTCGACTCTCGCCTGCGTATCTTGATTGACTGTTCTGAGCTGCGCTTGGGCCTTACCCTTTATAGGCCTTGGCTGTCCCGTTATTTCCCCCTTTGTACACGGCTTGCACCGAGTCCGAGTCCAAGGTCCACCGACGTCCCGTTAGTTCACGGTGCGTCCTTTTTGTGCTGGACGGGGATGCCCTTGGCTCCTCTAGATTTGTGACGAGTTTTAAAACTCCACAATTCATTTTATTCTTCTTACGACGTCACTGACGATAAAATCATAGCTAGTGAACTTGTGTTCCGATTTTAACAATTTTCGACGTGCCGGTAGGTATTGAAAATCAAAATAAAATAAAATGAATTTTACATTTTAATCTTTTTTAAATTTGGGGGTCACAGAATTCGGTTTGTAACCTGCCAAAAGTTCGAAATACCGGCTACGAATTGGAAAAGTGTTATTAAGCCATAAAAAGTGGCTAAATTCGAACACTTGGTACTTTGACTAATGGATCAATTGTAGGCCCTATACAGACTTTAGCGTTTTAATCATTTTAAAGCCTTAAAGTGGGCGTGGCACATTCAAATAAGAAACTTGCTCTGAATGAGAAACTGAGAATTGTCTCCGTATGAACGCTGTGATCTCGGAAACTATAAAATCTGCAAGATTATTTTGTCATTGAGCCGCGCCCACTCTAATGCCCACAAGCCGCCCAAAACTGTGGCTCCGACAACTTAAGTGCTGGAAAGAAATTTAAACTGAAATGTATTGTTCTCATCAACACCTATCGATTTACCCATAATCCGTGACACTACACTATGATGTAGAGGTTCAAAAGTTATTCTAGGCATATGGTTGCTTTGATAAAATGGCTTAGAATTACCCATTCATTAAGTTTCGCCCAAACGATTAAATTCGATTTTCACGTCCCTTTCCATGCTATAATAATGAAAAATTGTTTATCAAATACTGGTTATTATTCCTGTTACTCGCAGAGTAAAAGGGTATACTAGATTCGTCGGAAAGTATATAACAGGCAGAAGGAAGCGTTTCCGACCCCATATATGTTCTTGATCAGGATCACTAGCCGAGTCGATCTAGCCATGTCCGTCTGTCCGTCCGTCCGGATGAACGCTGAGATCTCGGAAACTTTAAGAGCTAGGCAATTGGGGCTTGGCATGAATATTCCTAAGCTTCTTGCGCAGCGCAGATTTGTTTCAGCTGCGTGCCACGCCCAATCTAATGCCCACAAAGCTCCCAAAACTGTGGCTCCTACAGTTTTGATGCTAGAATAAAAATTTTAACTGAATTGTATGGTTCTTATCAATACCTATCGATTGACCCAAAAAAGTTTGCCACGCCCACTCTAACGCCCACAAGCTTCAAAAAATCGTAGATGTGAACGCGGATATCTCGGAAACTATCAAAGATAGAGAATTGGGAGTTCAGATTTAGATTCCGTAGCCTTGTAAGCAGCGAAAGTTTAGTACGCGAATATGCCACGCCCACAACCGCCCAAGCCTGAGGCGCCCACAATTTTCATGCTAGAAAACATTTTAACTGAAATGTATTAGTCTCGTCAATACCTATCGATTGACCCAGTAAAAGTTTGCCACGACCACTCTAAAGCCCAAAACGCTTAAGTCTGTCTACCGCCCATATAACGCATTTCAATCTCGCTTTGCTGCTTGCATATCTTCATTTCCCTTTTGTCCCTTTAGCTGAGTAACGGGTATCTGATAGTCGAGGTACTCGACTCTGGCATTTGCAAATGCGGAGGGTAACCTGATTTTCAAGACGCATTTATACCCGTTACTGTTAGAGTAAAAGGGTATACTAGATTCGTCGGAAAGTATATAACAGACAGAAGGAAGCGTTTCCGACCCCATAAAGTATATATATTCTTGATCAGGATCAATAGCTGAGTCGATCTAGCCATGTCCGTCTGTCCGTCTGTCTGTCTGTCCGGTTGAACGCTGAGATCTCGGAAACTATAAGAGCTACGCTATTGAGATTTGACGTGCAGATTCCTGAGCTTCTTACGCAGCGCAAGTTTGTTTTAAGCAGTTTGCCACGCCCACAAACCGCCCACATACTTCAAAAAATCGTTAATATGAACGTGGATATCTCGGAAACTATCAAAGATAGAGAATTGGGATCTCAGATTTAGATTCCGTCGCCTTGAGCGCAGCGCAAGTTTTTTACGTGAATATGCCACCCCCACTCTAAACCTATGACGCCCACAACTTTCACGCTAGATAAAAAATTTTAGCTGAAATGTATTGGTCTCGTCAATACCTATCGATTGATTAAAAAAAAATATGCCACGCCCACTCTAACGCCAACGTGTACCACCGGTAGGTGGCGCATTTTAATCTCGCTTTGCTGCTTGCATATCTCCATTTTACTTTGGTCCCTTTAGCTGAGTAACAGGTATCTTATAGTCGAGGTTATCGACTATAGCGTTCTTCCTTGTTTCTTTTGTCAATATTGCTTATAAATGTCCATTGATTGCATTCCCAGAATGATTTATCACTTTTTTTGGGTCCATACAAAGTTACCCGCCCTAATATACATACATAAACTAGTAACTTGATATATTTTGTTATTATTATTATTTTTTATTATTAAATTTATTTTTTATATACATAGGTTGAAAAAGAAGCTGCTCGACTTTCGCTAATAGGAGTAATTGAACGTCCGCAGAACAACGTGAAGTATGAGGATATAGGCAAAATTTTGATTGGAAACCAGTCTGCTTCATGGAAAGACGAATTGTTGACACGCCTTCGAAGTGTGACCAGCCAGCGTCCTTTCTCTCGGCAAGAGTTTGAGAGCTACCTGATCCGCAACAAGGCGATCTTCGAACAAATCGCAAGTCAATACCATGTGAATATCAAAGATATTCACTTGTGGCTGAACCAGAGCGCCAAGAACGCGGGCCTGCTCAGCTCTGAGTGGGAAGCCAAGGAACGCCTGCATATCGACAATCTGATCAGCCAGCAACAGCGCAAGCAGCATAGGTGGTCCGTTCAGGAGCTGGAGCTTCAACTGAACAACGATCAGAAGCACTTGAAGGAAGCAGTTTGCCAGTATCATGTGACTGTCGAAGAGTTGATGGTATGGTACAAGAACGAGCTTAGCCGACTCTTAGAGCAGCGCAGAATCGACCGCGGCTCAGACCTCTCGTGGCAGACCGTTGATTTGGTTACTGGACGACAGGTCAACAACTGGCATGAACAAGAGCGAATGCGCCTGCACGAAGTTGCCGTCGGCGTAATGATCACTGAGAAGGAGCTTCTTGATTTCATCTCACAGGACACAAGCTTCCAGGCGCAGTTGGCCAAGTTCTATAATGTAAGTCTGAATCAGTTGGCGCCCTTGCAACGCATATATATCGGCAACATGGCGCGCGAGAACTTACTGGAGCAGCGCCGGTTGAACCATCTGGACACTTGGCAGCAGCGTGAGCGTGACCGCCTTTATGAATTCATAGGTAATCAAAACATGACGCAGTTGGAACTTAAAAATTTGCAGAACCAGGACACCCACCTAATTGAAGAATTCTCCCAGAGGTACGAAATCTCGGCACAGCATCTCAAGGACTGGCAGAACCGGGAGCTCGGGCGAATTAACCAGTTGGCAATGTACTACGGCATGTCGCAGAGCGATCTGCAACAATTCCGGGAGGGCGAGCTTCTCCAACTGGCCTATGTAAACCATCGCAAACTATTGCCCGCTGTCCAATTAAAGGAATGGGAGAAGCACCACAACAGGTCCTTAAGCCGCTTGCAGAGTCGCTATGCCAAGCTTGGCGAAGAATTGGTCGCCTGGCGCCGCATTCTCTTTCTGCGAAGCCAGGGTCTTATTGACCTTCCAGCAGATAGTGAAGATGGTGGACACGTGGTGGATTCAGGAAGCACCAACGCCACAGCTGAATACAATCCAACATTTTCAAAAGATAGAGGAGACCAGCCGCCCCACACGTACGAGGACTCCTTTGTTGAGGGAAATGAACCGGGCCTGGAGAGCGAGACGAACCATTCTCGAACTTTAAAATTCACCTCCTTCCTGCCTACGACCACTCCCCTTACTCCCACTGACGGGGGTGGACCGGTTGGAGGGTACGAGTACCATCGTGAAGACTTCACTTTCAACGTGCCAGTGGGCGCAGCCTCGTCCTCTGCTGGACCCACTGTATCCTCAGCTAGTGCCATAGGGGATAAGCCCACTCAACAGGAGGAAAATCTTGAGAAACAGCAGCAGGTGCAACTGCTCAGTTGGAATGAAAGGCTGGATGATCCGGGAAACCAGAAACAGTTTGAGAACCAGGCCTGGAACCATCAGTCGGATGGCCTTGGTCGGGATCAGATTCAGCTCAAAGATGGCTCAACCTTTGGCCAAAGGGAGGGTCATACCAGCAAAAGTCAGCCTCTACAGCTACCTTCAAAAGTACATTTTTGATTAACGATAGACTAGCAGGAAAATTAATGGTTTCATTTTTCTAAACAGGTAGAGGTAAATGCAACCGCAGAGCCCTCGTTCTGGAACAAACTCAAGGAAAAGATCGGATGATATAAAACTATAAGCTACCATTTACGATATTTGCATACACTCATACAAATATTGCTTTCTGCATATATGTTTTTAATATCTTAGTAAAGGAAATAAATAAAGTACTCTTTTGTGCAGCAATAATATTTAAAAACGTACATAAAAGCTAGGGAGAGATTTTGAGCTGATTCGGAGTTTGCTCCACCAACGGGTATTTATATTTAATGCTCGCAGCTTTTTTTGGGATGAACCAGTTTTGGGTGCAGATGGATATTAGTACATACAAAAAAACATACTTAACCCTTGAATCTCTGTCCATGTAGGCGCTAGATAGATGCTAACGTCGTGGTCGTTGTATAGTAGTTGTAAATGTGTAATAACTTTCTGAGATTAGACATTTTATTTGCTTAGAACTTTTTGGGTATTTATAATCCAAAACTAAATTTCTTTTTATACTTTTACAACATATGAACAAATTTGCGCTGCGCAAGAACCTCAAGTAATTTAATGCCGCATCCCAACAATGTAGCTTTCATAGTTTCCGAGATCTCAGTGTTCATACGAACAGACGCACAGACGAACGTGGCTCTACATATGTTGTAGGGTCGGAAACGCTTCGTTCTACCTGTTATCTACTTTTCGAGAAATATAGTATACCCTTTTACTCTACGAGTAACGGGTATAATAATACGAATTTATATAAATTGGATCGAACTGATTTTGATTGGTCTGCTCGCTACGAGATCTTTCGGCTAGTTTAGCAGATGGTGTGTTTAAACGAACGTTCTAGTTTGTTGTCTGTGATGTTTCTACGCTGCTCGATGAGATTGCCGTACCTCTCGTGATGTTGCTGCTGACGATGTACTAAACACTGCTTCTGGATGTGAAGCGAAGCTGGATGTATCGGGGCTCTGGCTCTCGAGGTTTCAAAAAATCTCCGTTCTAGGAACTCGCTCGCAAAACAGCTGGGCTTTTCCAGGACTACGCCTCTTGAAAACCACAATAGGTCGACAGCTCGCCCTTCCTGGCTTGAAGCGTGATTCTTAGGCACTGGGGGACTCGGTCAGTTGACGTTTTGGAATTCCGCCTTTAAAACCGCTGGACTCTCCAGGACTACGACTCGATAACCACAATCGATTCACCGCTCGCCCCTCCTGGCTACTCGCGCCAGGTCCTGCTTAATTTACCACTCGACGAACCGGTTCGCACGCTGGCCACACGTTTGCACGTCAGCTATATAACTTTCTCCCCGAGCTCAGGTTCCTCGCCGCAGGACCTTATTGCTCAAACTCAGACAGACCCGCCGTGAAATACACCAGCATTTAGTCGAGACAAGAGGGGAAATAGGTTTTATTTAGCTATGTGATCCCCGCAGGACCTTAGTGACCTGTGTCGCAATTTGCTGTCCCAATGCCGAACAATTCGATCTGGCTCCTTGTCGACTTCCTACGGCGCTGCTTCCGACGACTTAACTTGTTGTTCACTTGTTCATTTGATGCTGGTCGACTGATTTCTTGACTTTAATAAACTGATTTTAAAGAAATAACGCCTCGTGATCGATTGCTCCAGCTGCGAGGGCTCTGCGGCCCTATATAGGGCCTCGGAAACCTTTATTTCCCTTTGCGCACGGCCCGATGGTTCTCTCCACTCCAGGTCCGAGGTCCGTGGTTCGACCCCGTTGTCCCGTTCTACGGCTTCCAAATAGAGGTATGGTACAAGAAAGAGCTTAGCCCACTCTTAGCGCAGCGCAGAATCGACCGCGGCTCAGACCTCTCGTGGCAGACCGATGATTTGGATACTGAACGATAGTCCAACAACTGGTATGAAAAATAACGAAAGCGCTTGCATGAAGTTACCGCCGGCGTAGTGATCACTAAGAAGAAGCTTCGTGATTTCATCTCACAGAACACAAGCATCCACGATCCATTGGCTAAACTCTGTCATGTGAGTCTGAATCAGTTGGGGCCCTTGCAATGGATATATATCGGCAACATGTGGCGCGAGAACTTACTGGAGCAGCGCCGGCTGCTGGCCTTTTGGCAGCAACGTGAGCGTGACCGCCTGTATAAATTCATAGGTAATCAAAGCATGACGCAGTCGGAACTTAAAAATTGGCAGAGCCACCCACCGAATTGAAGAATTCTCCCAAAATTCTCCCGAAGTCTCGACGCAGCAGCTCAAAGACTGACAGAACCGGGAACTCGGGCGAATTAACCAGTTGTCGCACAGCGATCTGCAACAGTTCCGGGAGGGCAAGCTTCTCTAACTGCCCTATGTAAACCATCGCAAACTATTGCCCGCTGCCCAATTAAGGAAATGGGAGAAGCACCACCACTGGCTCTTAAGCCGCTTGAAGAGTCTGCAAAAACAATCTTATCGCTTAGTTGACTTCTCTGATTTTTCTTCTAGCACAGCACCAGTGTCGATAGAGACCACGAAAGCAGGATGCTATAGATCTTCGGGTTGAGTAAGAGGTGCTACTTTGGACAGAAACACGCAGTCCGGATTAGATACAAAGCACAGTTCAGTAAACAGCCCAATGAATTTTAATGTTCTTAACTTGAGAGGGTATCCGGTTTTAACCAGGTCTCTGTAAACACAATTTTGTGAGATGCAAAAGAAAGACTATCCGAATACAACTTAGTTATACTGATAGGAAAGAGATAAGCTGGTTTTTAGTTTTTTGAAGAAGGTGCTACGGTAGAAGATGAAGGTGCGACACTACTGGGGAGTCTTGTTTCTACAGGTTTTTTCTTTTACTTGAATTCCTATTTCTAGCTTCGAGCCACCATAAGTGTATGCCAGAATTCCTAGTTTCGAGTTCCTTTACCACCATAAGTGCTGGCCAGAATCTTGCAGAACATATGGTTGAAAAGAGCTCGCTTGGAGCAGAAATCTTAAAAGACAATGTGTCCCCGGCATAGGTAAAATTAAATTTTCCACGGTAATATTTTTGGCCTTTGTTTTGTGCTGTATATAGTCAGTTTGGTCAGGGAAAAGCCGAGAAACAAGTATTTGTTTTCTTAGCAGAGCCACTGATGCGGGCTTCGGTGCGGCAGATTGTATTTCTGCAGAGCCAACGTGTGCCGGTAGAATAGTAGGGTCAGTATTAACTGCCGGTGTCATGATATTTAGTGATGAAGGAACTGGTGAGTCAATTGCAGATGATCCAGATTGCAGTTGATCTATATTTTTTATTTAGCTGCTAATCACAGGAACATTTGCGGACTTGTTGTGGTCGACCGCTGGTCCGTGATGGAGTTCTGATCTTAGCTTTCCAGGCCACCAGTGGCTTGAGGCCATAAAATTGTGAATCCAGCGCTGAGAGTAACTCATCTGCTCGGCGAGAACTATCTCTAGCTACGCCGAAGCTATTAATTGCATTCTTTAAGCCACCTTTTGTTTGGCGCATAAAAGATATCATCTCGTACGCAACTTTCAGTCAAGGGTCACAGCAATATAATAATTTATGACCCTTAGCCAGGTAGTCACTAGTTCGACCGGTATACCCGGTACACTTGGTTTGACCCATTTTTCACACAGCCAACACGTCAGTTTTGACTGATCAGCTCTGATTCATTGATGGCATTTTTTAATAGAGCAGACAAAAGTATCCATAGTTTGTGTTATTCGGACCACTGTACCAGAGGAATATAAAGCTCGAAAATTTTAAGCAAACAGTCAAAAGTGGGGGAAGAAAGTAGTAAATCAGAGGAGGGCGCAATTTTTCTGCAATTTGTGTTTGAATTTTTCCAGAACCCAGGAAGCTGCATTGAAACACAAGACGCTCTGCAGTAGGAAGGTTTCAAAGATGCCGCACCCCCAGTATAATACACTGGAATTTACCCAAGTTCAACATCAGCTTCAAGTTCCATTTGTTGTCTGGAACCAAAAAATCTTGAAGTGAGCCCCAAATTATTTAATATTAATGAACATGTTCCAATATCATATGCGTATTATATAAAGAGTGCTTTTGATTCTAAACTAGATAAATTTGTTTTAGAAACAGAAAAAAATTCAGAAATAAGTTTTGTAAGTTCCTTGATAAAAAATTTAACTGAATTGAGTGATGAGTACTAACATAAAATAGTTCCTATGAGAATGACTTTGGATGATTTCACAGGTCGTTTTAGAGGTGCAGCCCTTTCTAAATGTTAATTGGATTATAAAGTTAAAAAATTCATACCAGTATTTTTTCATAATTTTTCAAAATACGACTGTCATTTATTTATTCAAGGATTGGGAAAGAATCCCTGTGAAATTTCCGTAATACCAATAAATAAGGAAAACTATATTTCTGTCTCAAAATATATGAAATGTTTAAGTGGAAATAGTTTTGAAATTTGTTTTCTCGATACATATAGATTTATGCCATCAAGTTAAGATAACTTAGCTTCTAATTTAGTTGATGATCAATTGAATACTGTAAAGTAATTTTTTAGTAATGATATTGAATTTCGACTAATGCGTAAGAAGGGTATATTTCGCTATGAATATTTTGATTCCGCTAGTAGACTCGAGGAAACTTCCCTCCCACCAAGGGAAGCATTCAACAGTAATTTAACAAAAAGGAAATGCTCTCAAGAAAATTATGATCACGCTCTTAAAGTTTGCTACCATTTCTTATGTCCACTCTTAAAGATTATTTGGAATTATATTTAAAAACTGATGTATTCCTTTAAACTGACATTTTTAAAAACTTCCGAAAAATTTGTATGCAAATTTATTTACTTGACCCAGCTCAGTATTCTACGACACCAGGTCTATCTGGGGAGGCAATGTTGAAAACTACAAATATTCAACTTGAATTACTGACAGATAAGGATATTTAGATAGATTTATTCAAAGTAGCATTCGTGGTGGTTTAGTTCAATGATGTCATAGATATACAAAAGCAAATAACAAATATTTGTCAGATTATGATTCCTCGAAGGAGTCTACATTTTTAATGTATGTGGATGCGAATAACTTGTATGGTTGGGCAATGTCACAACCTTTACCATATACAGATTTTAAGTGGATGTCTACCACAGACATAGACAATTTTGATATTAATAATATTCCAATCGATAGCAAATACGGTTATTTTTTGGAAGTGGACTTAATATATCCATACCGTTTACATGATCTTCATAATGATCTTCCA